GATAAATGCAATCAGCCACCACATCCACCCTGTAGACTGCATCCCGAGTGTAAAAGGAACCACTGTCTTCCCATACACATGAATGTCAGCATCATGTCACTAACGACCAAACTGTAAATCTGTATTTTTACTCTTCTACAAAAACAATAATCACATTAATGTAGTTATCATTGGGAGGTTTACTCAGTGTAAGTTATGTGCTGGGTATGGCTGTAGGTGCTACAGCTACAGCAGTGAATGGGGTAAACAAAGTTCCTGACTTGAGGCCCTTACATTGTAAGGCGGACCAGCAAATAAACACAAATATTATAAAGAAGTAAATACGGTCATTTTAAAACAATGACACGTTCTACCAATGTTTTCACACAAACAGGTAGTGATGTGACTTAATGAAGAGTTTAACAGGTCTCTCTGGCAGATGCTTAGAGCAGTCTCAAAGAGGCAACAGTGGATAAATGGTGACCAGTTACGGGTCCCTTTGACTCTTCAGGTGAGATATGGTACCTTGGCCTAGGGCAGTAATGGGAAGGATAGAGAGAAATGGATTCAGTATAGTTTCTGGAGGTAAAACAACTAGGACTTGCCGATGTCGTGGATGTGAGGGAAGAAGCCTAGGTTTTTCCCTCAAGCATCTGGGTCAATGATGGGGGAGAAACAGGTAGAGGACAAAAATCAAAAATTCTGATTTGACCTGGTTAACTCTGAGACATCCAAGGGTTGCTGTCAAGAAAGCATCAGGAAGTCTAGAACTATGCTTTCCAATATAGTAGCTACTTGCACATGTGAGTCTTTACATTTAAATGAGATACAATTAGAAACTCACTTCCCCAGCTAAATGAGCCACATTTGGAGTGGTCGAGTATCCACAGAGACAGCTATTGTATGGAACGGCACAGGTACTATTACGTTTTCACTTGCAAATTATAATGTGATATTATCTCAAATAGCAAATCAGATGCAAAAGGGCCCTTGACACACATAAGAACCCTGCTGTAAGGATAAAAGGTAAATGCTCCATAGAGGTGAGGCAAAGTTGAAAGAAATATACTCTATGCTTTAGGTCCATCACAGAGAAATTTGTCTGTTATTAGATGCTGACAGGGCCACTGGTGTTATAAAGTAATGCTGTATGTATCAAAGGATCACATGTTAAGTCTTGAGCTCCAAAGGTAAAAGAGAGTAGGAAGCAAAATGGGGACATTTTGCCCCATTGTGCAAGGGCTTTTGTCCCAGGGAATGGCACACCCCAAGAGAGTGCACTGGCCTACTTTCACCAAATGGTACCACCCCATTATCTCCACCTTGGCACTGGCTCCGGGCTGGAAGAGCTGGTCTGGGCTGTTCATCGGAACAGACTCTTCTACCTGGTCACTATCCTAATCCACAGAAAGCTTCTGGAGACTTAAAATTTTGTTTTTCATCGAGGAGCTGGTGGTATATGTCCTCAACTAATTTGCAGATAAGTTTGGGGAAGATATTCCGATAATGCCAAAGCCAGTCAGTGTCAAATTAAAAAAATACACATGGATTCCTATTTTGTCATACCTTAAGAGAGTATATTAAAAAGTCGGAGTGAACAATAAATTAAAGCATTACACTCAACATATTTTTCTCACATTTTTGTAATGAAAGGACAATAGCACTTTTAAAAGGATACCAAGTGTCTCTGGAATTTACCCACATTCAGACCATTCTAGTGCTGATATTTATTGTTGCCTATTACCTTTGATAGACATATGTGTTTTTATATGACTATGGCTGTAGTTTACATGCCATTGGTATTAAATCCAGTAAAGACTTTGGAGTTGGACAGATCTAGGTTTGAACCCCACATCCTCAACTAATGGGCTGCAAGTCCTTGGACAATTTATTTCTAAATCTCAATTTCCTAAAGTGCAAAACAAGACTAATAATGCCTTTTGCATATTAGTTGCTATAAGGATAAAAAGAGAAAACATTAGCGCAGTGCCACTAGAAAAACCTCTATGAATGGTGGCTATTATTTCTTTTTAAATTTCACCTTAAATTTTAAATATTTTCATATTTCTACACCTATTCATAAATCCTTCATGTTGAAAAGCCATAATCTACTAAATAACTCCCCTAATGCAGGATATTTAAGTTACTACCAGTTTTTATTATTATAAATATGATTACATTGGACATCTTCATGCCTTAGTTTTCTCATTTCTTTTTTTTTTTGAGACAGAGTCTCACTTTGTTGCCCAGGCTAGAGTGAGTGCCGTGGTGGCGTCAGCCTAGCTCACAGCAACCTCAATCTCTGGGGCTCAGGGATCCTACTGCCTCAGCCTCCCAAGTAGCTGGGACTACAGGCATGCACCACCATGCCCGGCTAATTTTTTGTATATATATTTTTTAGTTGGTCAATTAATTTATTTCTATTTTTGGTAGAGACGGGGTCTCGCTCAGGCTGGTTTCAAACTCCTGACCTTGAGCAATCCGCCCGCCTCAGCCTCCCAAAGTGCTAGGATTACAGGCGTGAGCCACCACGCCCGGCCCAGTTTTCTCATTTCTTTACCTTATTTCTCTAGCTTCCTTAAATTCCTAACAGAATTACCGTTTTTTCTGCTTTTAAAGAGGTTTTTACTAACATACAATAATGCCACCAACAAAATAATGGACGGTTTCTGAGATCTTGACATTTTATACATAAAATAGTATTCTTAATGCTGTTTTTTATTTTGCATTTCTAAGATAATTAGAAATTTTTTCACATTAATGGTTTGTCACTTTGAAAAATAATACATTTATATTCTCTGTCCATTCATGTACAAGGATCTTGATATTTTTCTTATGAATCTGAATGAGTTCTTAATAGTACATGATAATCAACAGTTCATGTTTGCTAAAAATATATTCCTAAAACTTTTGCAATTTTAAGAGAATCATCTTAGGCCAGGCGGGGTGGCTCACGCCTGTAATCCTAGCACTCTAGGAGGCCGAGGCAGGTGGATCACTCGAGGTCAGGAGTTCAAAACCAGCTTGAGCAAGAGCAAGACCCTGTGTCTCTACTAAAAACAGAAAGAAATTAATTGACCAACTAAAATATATATACAAAAAATTAGCCGGGCGTGGTGGCGCATGACTATAGTCCCAGCTACTTGGGAGGCTGAGGCAGTAGGATCACTTGAGCCCAGAAGATTGAGGTTGCTGTGAGTTAGACTGACACCACGGCACTCACTCTAGCCTGGGCAACAAAGTGAGACTGTCTCAAAGAAAAAAAAGAGACTCATCTTTTCATTTATATTGCATTTAATAAATAATATGCACAGCCAAATTTTGTACAAACCTCATGAGCTATGACATTGCTTCTTGGACTCATGTTTTCATTTATATAGCATTTAATAAATCATATGCAACAGACATATTTTGTATAAACCTCATGAGCTATGACATTGCTTCTTGGCAAAATGTTTGGCTTCTGATAGCTTTTCAAAGTCCATTTATATCCAGGTTGATCTTTGTAGCAACTTTGTGAGTTGGGAAGTATAACGATGAAAAAACAGATCCAGACAGGAAAGATGATTAAGACAGGGTCACTGAATCCTGGAGTTGGCCACAACCAGACTCTGAGTCCCTCTTTCTCTGAACCCTAGGGCCCCTTGTGAAAGGAAGCTTGTGAGGTAAAAATGAAGAGGTATATTTTGTGCACAATGGATTATTCTTCAAAGCACCAATTCTGTATCATTCCCTATTAGAAAGCCTTTACATAGAGCATCAGAGAACCATGTATGCTGAAGTGGAGTCTCCCAAGAAACATTATTATTTTAATATTATTTTAGTAAATCCACCAAAACAATGGCTTACATAATGGACCATCCTTATACAGTTTTTTCTGTGGCAAAATAATTTAAATAACTTAGACTCAAATTAAATTTTGTTTTATTATAATTATCATCATTTTATCTGGCATGAATACCACTTCTTCCACCAAGTATACCCTCATTCTTTGGCCCAATTAAACCAATCTCTTCTCTGAATTTCTACAACTTTTTCCACTTTCTACCTTTTATTACAGGTATTTCAGAAGATGTTGCACTTCTTATACTGGATGGTAAGGTCCCAAGGGTCCACTTTATTTATATCTCCTAAATTGCCTGGCACCCTGCTCTGTACAGAGGAGGACTCATTGAATGTTGTACTGAGAGATGGGGGAAGAATTTTACATAGTTACGAGACAACAGGAAAAAAAAAAAAAGGAGGACAGTTTTGTTAAAATAAGAGCATTAAAGTACAGGTTGCACTGACTGTACCATTCCGTGTCCTGGCAAGTATACTTTCATGAGACAGTTCTAACACATTCTTAAGCCAGAAGTCCACATTAGCTAAACAATACTAAACTACATTAAACAGAATGTCCAAAAATGTTTCCGACCTTGAACAAATCTGTATAATTCTGTAGATATATCTGTTTTGCTTTTATTTGCAAATTCTGATATAACTCATTCCTCAAAAATTCACTGTGTACACACACACACATCCCCACTAAAAAGTCTTGGTCAGCATTTGGGAAAGGCTCAGATAAAAATATGGGACATCTGTTTCCTAATATCAGGAAAATTAACAGGAAATGATTAATGTTAACTAGGAAGATGAATCTGTATCAAATTATGAAATGAAAACAACCAAAATTCACAACTCACTACAGTGAGTCCTGTGAGTCATCAGATCTTCAGAACTGAGGGGAAGATTTTTCAGATTTTACTGAAATACTTGTCACAGTAGAAATATTTTTATTCCATGTATATGCAAATAAGCATAAAATTGTATGTCTTACCCTACATAATAATACTCTTAGATTCTATGTCTCCCCACTGATATTTACATAACCCTTGGCAATTTGGGTTGGCTATTTCGTGGGTATTTGTCTAACATGCTCAGTGCCTTAACTAAGACCTAACTAAACTGGATGGTGGTCCCTGGATGGAGAGGATGTGGCTCTTTTGAGAATGATCTAGCGTGACTATGTCTCTCCCTAGGAGAGCTGGAAGGACAGTGATGGACACCCACAGAGCAAAGCCACAGAGCAAGGCCAAAGCAAACCGTAAGTGAAGGGGGTTTGTAGCTGGTTGGGTCTCCCATCATCCTGCTCCTTATGTGCTTCTCTGACCTCCTATGTGCCTAGCAATGTGGAAGGTTCTGGGGAGTACAACAGAGAACAAAATATAGTCCCTCTCCTCAAGGAGCCCATAGTAAAATAGACAGCTAAGCAGACAACTTTAGCTCTGACGGCAACAATCTACTCATACTAAGTACAAGGAGCTCTGAGAACACAGTGGGGGGCACCTCTACCAGTTTGGGACGATCAGAGAAGGCTTCCAGGAGGAAGCAGTGCTGAACCTAAAATGCAAAGAATCCTTGAGTTTCCTCTCCTGTCATGTGGGAGACTGGGGTTTGATTCCTCACTGGAGAGGCAAAAAATAAAATAAAATATAATGTGAATGACCAGGGTTAACTGGGAAAGAAAAGAAAGGAGGCATAAGCAAGGAAGAGGGAGCAGATTGTGCAAAGGCTTGAGAGGAAGGGAGTCCCTATGCGCCCTGGGGGCTGCAAGAGCTCAGAGTGCTGGGGCAGAGTTCCAGATCCAGATCTTTACTGACTAACAGGCTGCATAGTCGGGCAAAACCTAAAGCAGGTGACTACAGTGAGAACCATGGGACCAATGGAAATGGCCTGGCATCTCTAGCATCCTCCCATCAGAAAAGAGCTGGCACTGACAGAGGGAACAGCTAAAGCCCTTTCAGGTAACAGACCTCTCTGGGGCAAGAACACAGACGGCCCCATGGCCACAACCTCACCAGTCAATGCTGGTACCAATTCCAAGGAAAAAACCAAGAGCCAGTTACTCAACCCAACAGATGGGGACGGTGAGCAGGCCTTATCACAGTCCCACGAGAAAGATGGGATTATCTCCATCTTATGGATAATCTGCTGGTTTTAGAAGACAATATTTACTTATATTCCTTCCTGTTAATTGATCCTGCCTCTGACTAGGGACACCAACTTCCAGTTTTAGCTGGAAGTCCCCTGTCCCAGGAATCCCCTCAGTGTCACAGAAGCTGAGATGGTTGGATATACTACTCAGAGTGTACAAAGCACATGAAGTGGTCAATAGGATTTATGACCCAGGTTTTGTAGGGGTACTGGTACAAAGTTAAATGGTATCTATCTCCTCAAGCTAACCTGGACCCACTGAACTATGGAATCCTTTGGAATCACTTGGGGGTTTCTCTGGGACTCCTATAGCATTGGCAATAACTCATTCTGAATAATACCCGCAAAGCAAAGGACTAGCTGAGGGCCTAGTGGTTACTATCCACCCTGCTAAGGTGAAAGAAAGCATTACATACTTAACAGCAAATGGCCAGAAGAGCAGTCTGAATTTAATTTTATTGTCATTAACTAAGAGTTAACCAAATGTCTTTCAGCTTTAACTTATGATATTGAAAGTCTTCCTACAAGTCTAGTTATATAGAGAGTAGATATAAACATATTTTCATGTATCCTTTTTAACTAGGGATCTTATTACAGTGCCTCACCCTTACATTCTTACTGTTCAATAGAGTTAAGAAGGTTTAGAAGACAGTAAGAACACACTATTGGAAACCATAGCTTCCAGTAAAAACAGTCATAATAGGACATTACTTTATGACAATATTTTTTTTTTTTGAGACAGAGTCTCACTCTGTTGTCCTGCGTAGAGTGCTGTGGCATCAGCCTAGCTCACTACAACCTCAAACTCCCGCCTCAGCCTCCTGAGTAGCTGTGGTGCATGCCACGACACCTGGCTAATTTTTTCTATTTTTAGTAGAGACAGGGTCTCGCTCTTGCTCAGGCTGGTCTTGAACTCCTGAGCTCAAGAGATCCTCCTGCCTGGGCCTCCCAGAGTGCTTGGATCATAGGTGTGAGCCATCACACCTGGCCTCTGTATAGCAATATTTGACAGGCAGAGGGTGGCTGACAAATCTTTATAGACTGAATAATGGTGGAAAATTGGGCAATACAGAAATATAGAAAAGAAAATGACAAGGACTGTGGATGAGATAAAAGCTATACTTATGCTTTTGTTACAGAGTTGTTGACTAAGGCGGCGCGGACTCAAAGCCGCCACACACAGTTCTGATAAAAGAAAGCAAAAGCTCCTCAAGAGCAGTCTTTTTCTTAAAACAGTGGTAACGAGTGGAATAGGTGATCGGCCTCCAGTTCAGCAGAGGATGCAGAAAGACTGCAAACTGGTAAGTGCCAAGGGCCCACCGTTAAGTCCTGATTCGCAAGGCATCCTCCTGGGAAGCTCAGCAAATGTCATCCAGGCTCAGTGCTCTTTGGTGAGAATCCTGACAGGAATGGATGAAGATATGAGTCTTCGCATCTTTCTCTGACAAAAACCAATGACCTCCAACACATTTTTGGTTAGGTTTCAAAGGAAAAAATACTTTGAAATCTAAACGTGCTTGAATGAAGCTATCAAAACAAAAGTAAACTAAACTTTCATTAGCCTCAGAAAACTAAAAAAAAGAAAGAAGTAAAATTTAGCAGCATTTTTTCACTGGTAATAATATTATAACTATGTTTCCTCCTAAAAATTCCAGTTTTATTGGCACATTCTAGGTAACTGAGATTTTGATATATGCTGAAAATTATATCATTTTGGCTATGAGGTTTAGTTCTCTAATCATATCACTCTTTTTGATGATGACTTTGTCAGATGCTGAGACAGAAAGAGTCACCACAGAAGTGTTCAGAGTCACCACAGAAGTGTTCAGGTTACGTCTGGGGCCCAGGACCGGGCAGCACATTTGGAGCTGGAGGGAGCAAAGGGCACTGCCCTGAGCCGGGATCAGAAACACAGGACCCAGAAAGGCTCGTCTTCACTCTGCCAGACTTCTGGAGTGGCTGCCATGCGCTTGCTTCCCCGGCCTTGGACTCGGTTCACAGTCACGTGAGGCAGCTGTGCTATGAAATGTCCCACCCTGAGTCTGGGGATTTGATTCCACTAAACAGTTTCGTCTTAAATACAGCTACCACAACACGGCTGAGCACTGAAACCTTTTTGTCATTAAAAATCAATCAAAGGAGTAGGTAAGTTATGTATGTATGTATGTATTCATGTATGAATGAATGACAAGAGCCTCGCTCAGTCGCCCAGCTAGAATGCAATGGCATCATCGTCACTCACTGCAACCTCAAACTCCTGGGCTCAAGCAATCCTCCTGCCTCAGCCTCCTCAGTAGCTGGGACTATAGGTACACGCTACCACGTCTGGCTAATTTTTCTATTTTTAGTAGGGACGGGGTCTCCCTCTTACTCAGGCTGGTCTTGAACTCCTGACCTCAAGCAAGCTTCCCACCTTGGCCTCCCAGAGTGCTAGGATTACAGGTGTGAGCCACCACACCCACCCAGAAACAGATTTTAAAGGACTTGTTGTTCATCTTTTCCTGAGTCATCAAGCGATGAACAGCTAAAAAACAACAACAAAAAAAAACCCAACTGTGCTCAATGTGAACCACTCAAAGTCACAATTCAACAGGAAGAAGACAACTATGAAGAAAACCAGCAAATCCAGCACGACCTACCTATTCTTAAAACTACCATTTGCTTCCTGGGTAAAGCCACCTTTGCTAGCTCTATTGTAGTATTAGTTTGCACCCCTCCACCAGACATTCTTGTACACCTTTCCATTTTGTATATTCTGTACTACAATCTGCTGACCATCATTTGGGCAGGTATACAACATATAATCACCGTACCAGAAAACAACAATATAAACCCAAAACAAAAAACCTGAAAGCCAAGGGAAAAAAATCTGCCACCCACCATACCAGGTGGGAGGGCAGCTCAAGGCAGTTGACAAGGTTCTAACTGAAGCTAGCCACGTACATGCTCAACCCTTCTCCATGGGATCTTCCTGTTTCTCATTTGCTTAAGTATTGGCATCAACAGCTTGATTATAAGGTCCTTTGACTGCAGGGGCCGTACTTTATTCTTCTACATATTTGCTTTCCTTCCCCCAAGAATCAGTGCTTTACTTGGCACAACCTAGGTTTTCAATAAATGGAAAAATAAGCTCTGGATGTTCATATTTATATCTAATTATCTATAACTGAAATGTTCACAGTGGCTCAGGGGAAAGGTAATGGCACAGCTAATTCTGAAATTCACTTCTACTTATCTTCCACTGTCAGAGCTAGCTTTTGTTCCTGTGCACACGTCCCTCCTAATTCAACAATTACATCGACTGTGGATATTGATAATGTAAGACAGTCTTTCTTAACCTTTCAAAATTCACACCCATTTTTGATAACTACAAAAACCTCACCCTCCATAACCAGATTGTGATGCACCCTCCCTGGCTGTCCTGGGAAACCGTGATATGTATTCTCAGTCTCCTTTGCTGAACTCTCTCCTCTTACCCAAATCTGATGACTCTCAAATCTCTATCTCCAGTTGCAGCCTTCTCTTTGAACTCCAGACTCAATGACCTGACTGACTTCTTGACATCTCCCCTGGGACACTGTAGTAAGCATCTCGGACTTAAGAATGGCCACAACCAAATTCTTAATCATCCCCCCACATTGCTCCCCTCTTGGGTGGCCCGAGGGACAGCAATGGTGCCAGTGGGACATTACCACGCATGCCCTCGTTCAAGCCCAAATCCTCATTCAGCTTTGGCTCCTTTCTCACCAACTCCAAATCTAATCAGTCCACCAGCAAATCCTCCCAGCCCTACCACCTTCGAAATCTCTTGAATCCAATCACATCTCCACTCCCACCTGGTGCAAGCTGGCAGCTTCCCTCGCCTGGGTGACTGAGCCAGGCCCTTGTGGATTCTGGGCAGTCACGCTTGCTCCTTCTCCAACCCCCACTGTAGTCTCTAACAGGCAGCGTGAGTCAGTCACTTCACTTCCTGGTGTGCTTAGCACACTCACGAAAGTTGACCCCTTGGCCAACCAGGCCCTACAAGAACTGGCTCCAGCGCACTCTGTCCAGCGCACACTGACCCCCACTCTCCTCAAATCTGCCCAGCAACCCTGCCCCAAGGCCTCGATACAGATCTTCCTTCTGCCTGAACTTCTCAGAGACACGCAGGCCTGCACATATCGCCTCAGAAAGGCCCTGCTCTCCCCTTCCCCTGCTTGGCTTTATCTTCACAGTACTTACCTCTTCCTGGCACTGTTTCCTATCTATGGAAGCATTAACCCTCTCCTTCACTGGGATGGAAACGCCATGAGAAAAGGATGCCGTTTGTTCACTGTTGCACCCCAGTGCCAGAGGCGACCCCCCCACACACACACAGAGTAGGCATTCAACAAAAAAAATTTTTTTTTTTGGTTACTGAATGAACACATATTTTCGACTGGCCAGAAATATCAAATGCACTTAATTTTCTGGTGTTAGAATTATGAAAATAACTATTTCCCCCCTTTTCAAGTGAATCATAAGATAATGTATGACTTTGAAAGTACTTATGCCTCCCCCGTAGATTCTGACGTCGGCCCTCTCTAAAACACCTGGCTGGAGTGTTTCCATGTATTAAAACCCGTGGCTATCACCTGAATGTTCACTAAGCACCTGGCACGTCTTGTAGTCTTTTGCCTCTTACTGAAGCCTTAAAGCTTTCTTACCTTCAAAGACACTGTCTCCCTTATCTACGGTAGTGGCAGTGCTTCTTTCAGTTATTTCTGAACGTGGCTGGCTCAGATTTCACCACCAAGTGGTCTGCTACACTGCTTTTGTTGTAAGGTTCCATGCAGCTTGGGCCCGGCCGCCACAGAAAACACCGTGGAATGTTAAGCAAACCCCTCAGAGGAGACCCAGAAGGAAACACAGATCCTGACTGCCAGGAGTCTCCAATATTTGGGCTTTCTGGCTGCCTGGCCAATATGGGTGCTTTTCAGAAGAGCAGTGTTTTCCTTCATGAATGAGCCCCATTTATCATAATGCACTCAGTGGGCAGCGTCAGCTTCCAGGGGACAACCGTTCGAAGCCCTCTGGCGTTTTCCCAGTGCGGCAGTGAATGCCACCCCACAGAGACCACTGTCTGTCTCCGTGAATTCCACCTTCCCTTCACTGGGCCCCTTAGCAAACCTCAGCTGCAGAGAATTCCTTCAACTGGCAATTGTCTGTTGTGCCTTTTCTCCTTTTCTTAAAGCCTAATCTTTCTGGAGCTTTTTAGAAGACTCTGGAATTCTTATATGAAAACAATATATTATTAATTTCTAATTACTAATACTTGAGGAATAAGACACAGCACAGTTCAAGGATCTGGTCAAATTCTAACATTAGCAATAACACAGATCGAAAACTGGTCAGCATCAGTTCAGCCCCCTTCCCCTCCTTAATACATAACATGCAGTACGTCATATGCAAGTCTTGATGAACTTTTATTTACAGGTTTATGTATTTCTTTAAAGCTTAAAAGTCTTGATATCTGTGACACAAAATCCTATTTAATCAGTTAGGAATTTAAGTTATTTGGGTGGTCTGTCCAAAAAAGGACCTTGGTAGATATTGATTATTAAGCATTTGCTCATCCAAGTCAACTTTGATTTTTTTTTTTTTTTAAATCACAAATCTGGATTCCTGGAATGTTGTGTGTGTGTAGTTTAACTCTGGACTTAATTTCACTGCAGTCTTCGCAGCCCTCTCCGGCTGTCCAAGTGGCTTCCTCTCTTCCTCTGTTCTCTGAACACGGAACGTGGGCAGAGCCAACACAAACCACATGCTGGTGACATTGTGAACGACCCTCAAATTCCTGCACTCTTCTGCAAAGCTTCACTGCCAAGCCCCTTCCCAGGCCCCTGCCTCCTTCAAACACTGTTTTACATTTTTTCCTCTTCACTCAGCTTGGTTGGGGAAGTATTTTGTTAACAGTTCTTGGCCAGTTTCAGCAGAGGGTTTCTGGCATTAGTCAGGGTTGTAGCTCTTCAGCACTGACTCCAGGAAATACCTCCCTATTGGAACTCTTTTACTTCTTTTTTCCTTCTGTCATCTTTCCAAAGGAGGAGGGTGGAAAAAAAACTTCTCACAAATACAACAAAGAGACATACAGCCACAAAAACATTTCTATTCAGCTTTAAACCAACAGAATCTTAAAACACCAACTAAGGGCTTGCAAATCCCAAATCCCTTAATGCCAAAAACGAAGTCTTGCGAGTCAGCCATATCCACTAAACTTTAACATTTGCTTTTTCCTTCCTGCTTACTTGTGTGAAAACGTGGCTGACACTATAGCAGTCCACCCCCCAGCCAGTCCTCAACATTGCCCTGCTGGCAGAGCCCGGGTTTGTTGGAGCGGAGCCCTGGTCTAAGGGTGGGCATGTGCCCCGTTCACGCCAGTGACGCCTGAGGGGAGACGCCGCCGTGAGGATGCTGGGAAAAGAGTCTGCTTCTTCGTAAAAGCCAGAAGCAGTGTGACAGGTGCCTCCTTGGTTCTCAACTGTGAAACTGGTCATGAGGCATAGGAATGTGACAACTGTGGCCATGACAATGCAAGTCTAAATTTTTAAAAACTCAACACAACAAAGAAGTAGATCACAGGGATGAAAAGAGCAGAGGTCTCTAATGGCAAATGGCAGGAGTAGCTGCCCCCTCCAGAGTTTCTGAAGATGTGGAGAAACTACCCTCTATTTCTTAAGGCCACTATTAGTTAGCTTTTCTTTTCTGTTATGTTATAGTCTTAATATATGTGAGGTGAAAAGAATGGCTTATGGCTTCTTAGTTTGGTCTCCTCCTCTAATTTAGAAGTGAGAAAATCTGCTTAGCAAGCTTCAAGCTATTAGGGCAGATACGACTTGCTCCCATATTACTTAGCACAGAGGTACCTGGTCTGTCTCAATCCAGAGTGCTTGCTGTACCCATCCATCCATCTAATCAACCATCTACCCACCACTCCCTTTTTTCTTTCTTTCTGACAACCACCAACTGCTGAGCCAGGCACTGGGGATACAAACAACCCAGAGGACAGAAAATACTGTACCCATTTTAAAGATAAGGACACTGAGGTTCAGAAGGTTTAAATGTTTTTCCTAAAACCAAAAGTCTACAAGTGGCTGAGTTAGGATTCAAATCTAGGACCATGTGAATTTATAGGCCTTGTGTTCTTCACTCTGCTATGTGGCTTCAAATACTAGCCATCACTTCGTTGGTCTGATTCATTAATAACAAAAAACATATTGCAGGCC